AATGAAGAGTATCCTCAAAGGCAGGGGGGGGTGACGGGCAGTGGAGACTCCTCCATTTGTGTCATAGGTCTCCCATAATCAGAACATTCCTCAGGCGGGTGCAGTGATACTTCTTCAGGGTTTTCTGCGTGATGTGTTGTGTCTTTCTCCTGTTTTGATTCCTCTTGCCGCTTGTCCTTGGCAGAGGGAACAGATTGCTGATGCAGGCAGTTGAATATGTTAGAGATAAACAATTTCACTCCTGACTTGTTCAGGCAAACTCCATCTGCCTTAAAAAGATGTCTGCAATCCCAGAAAAATTTAAAATTGTCAATAAAATTGACAGAATGGTCAGTGCAGGCAGTTGAAAGCCACGTGTTCAATGCAAACAGTATGCTGAATCTCTCCACTCCTCTTCTGACTGGCGGTAGAGGGCCACTGATGAACACCTCTGCATTTAGAGAGCTGACAGTTTCCAACAGACATTTAAAGTCTTCTTTCAGCGCTTCTGACTGTTGTTTCACAACATCATTTGTTCCAATATGTAGTACCACATTCTTCACAGTCGGATGTTCAGCCCCAATATGCAGGATCTTCTCAGCCAAGTCGGAGACCATATCCTTGGGAAAACAGAGTACTTTGGTGTTGTTCTTATTACACAGACCTTTTACATCTCTTACAGCAGAGTCACCCACAATCAGAGTTTCAGGCCCAGTCGTTAGCTTTCCCTCTAGCCTTTTACTTTTGGAGTAGCTATTGGTCCTTACCCTGCTGTGTGAAGAGGACAGGTTATCCAGGTCATCAGAAAGAGATCTCCGGTTCTCGGTCAGCGGAGCGTATCTGTTCTGGATTGGCACACTTGGTGGTTTAGGAGGATTGTTTGTAGTTCTCCCTTTAGCAGCTGTCCATGGCTGTTTCCTAGTATGAATAGGGGTTGAAGAGGCACTCTTCCTGGGTGATAACAATGCAGGCCAGCCGGTCGCATCACAGATTTCAGAGCGCTGGGCTCTGCCTGTTATTCGTCCTCCCAAATCCCATGGAATTCATTTACTCTTAGGCTTTGCACCCAGAGAGTTCCAGGGAGGACTACCACTTGTAGATTTATTACTCAGTACACAGCCCTCCTGTTCCTTGGAAACCTTGTAGCTGCTAACTAGCTGTGAGTTAGCATACCCTTTTCCATTATTTTGCTACACTGGTAAAGTGGTGTTATTCCCACAACATAGTCCATTCACTTCCACGTTAACTTCCAACTGTTGCATTTTCATTTCCAACACAGCCATCTTCTGTAGAAGTTTGTGGAAGTCATCTGTAGAGAACGGAGGCATTTTGCTACCAACTAGCTTAAGCTAAATAGCATGCAGTAGCCTACCAGGCTTTAGCTGTTGCTAGGCCACGCTACTGTAAGACTGAGGTCGTCGTACTGATCTTAATGTTTCTCATATCATGACACCGGTATCTTCAGTGAGGTACATCCTTACCTGTTACTCCTAATAAGGAGTTTCAGAACATGATGAATGGAGAGCCATGAGATGTGATTAATATCTTCATCTTAGAGGGAACTGCAACACCCTCTAAGACCATTCTGACATACATGTGAATACATATTTATTAAGTTATTTGAGTATAGTAACTTCAATCATCCTCAGTGGATAATAATATATAGATGTTAGTTTTGGATACACTGTGTTTTATTCAAGACATACATTAATGAGGCCTTGAATAAAAACATTTAGTGGATTTAAACAGTCAGTTACCCTTTGCAGAATGAACTCATAACTTTAAGATACAACTTCACAACCCTTGACTACAGTTAAACTACATTTTTCATTTATAGTTCATATCATATTCAATTCAGTAATATTAGCAGTGCAACTGAACAACTGTAAAGTTAACTTAAATAGTGGACACAATAACTGAAGGAAATTTGTGTCAAACAATCAATTCGGATGAATTTAGAGAAGATTATTTCCTGAGAATATTTAATCAAAGATCAAGACCTGTTTTAATAGAAGTTTCTGTCTTTCGTATGCATTAGTTTGAGAAAGTGAGAAAGATTTGTGACGGTGCACCGCTAGTAAGACGGCTGTACGTACTGATCTTAATGTTTCTCATATCATGACACCGGTGTCTTCAGTGAGGTACATCCTTACCTGTTACTCCTAATTAGGAGTTTCAGAACATGATGAATGGAGAGCCATGAGATATGATTAATATCTCCATCTTAGAGGGAACTGCAACACCCACTAAGACCATTCTGACATACATGTGAATACATATGTATTAAGTTATTTGAGTATAGTAACTTCAATCATCCTCAGTGGATAATAATATATAGATGTTAGTTTTGGATACACTGTGTTTTATTCAAGACATACATTAATGAGGCCTTGAATAAAAACATTTAGTGGATTTAAACAGTCAGTTACCCTTTGCAGAATGAACTCATAACTTTAACATACAACTTCACAACCCTTGACTACAGTTAAACTACATTTTTCATTTATAGTTTATATCATATTCAATTCAGTAATATTAGCAGTGCAACTGAACAACTGTAAAGTTAACTTAAATAGTGGACACAATAACTGAAGGAAATTTGTGTCAAACAATCAATTCGGATGAATTTAGAGAAGATTATTTCCTGAGAATATTTAATCAAAGATCAAGACCTGTTTTAATAGAAGTTTCTGTCTTTCGTATGCATTAGTTTGAGAAAGTGAGAAAGATTTGTGACGGTGCACCGCTAGTAAGACGGCTGTACGTACTGATCTTAATGTTTCTCATATCATGACACCGGTGTCTTCAGTGAGGTACATCCTTACCTGTTACTCCTAATTAGGAGTTTCAGAACATGATGAATGGAGAGCCATGAGATATGATTAATATCTCCATCTTAGAGGGAACTGTAACACCCTCTAAGACCATTCTGACACGATTGTGAATACAAATCTAATAAAAAATGTCTAGGTAAGCTACACTATTGTTTCATTTGAGATGCATGTAACTTAACAAAGCCTTCAGTGAAGACATTAAGTACGTTTTATGGATAGTTCATATTATATTCAGTTCATAACATCACAAAAATGAATGTTATCCAGAGATAAAAGCCAATTGGAAATTGGAAAAAGATATAGGATGAGTTCTTTAATTATACTCATAATTTTTCTGTTCAGGGCAAATGTCATTTTCAAATTTAGCGAGAGCAGGAGGTGTAGTGAACATCTTGATATTTTTCGTAGTCTTTGTGAAATTACACTTTATAGTGAGTTATGCCTTTTCTTCAGTTAGATCATAATCACTTACACATTATCACATAACCACTGTGAATCATTTCCTATAGAGATTAACTGATCGAACAATGTGAAAACTTTACGACACCCCAATTTGAGATTGAGAGAAAGATTTGTGAATGTGCACCGCTAGTAAGACGGCTGTATGTACTGATCTTAAAGTTTCTCATATCATGAAACTGGTATCTTCAGTAAGGTACATCCTTACCTGTTACTCCTAATAAGGAGTTTCAGAACATGATGAATGGAGAGCCATGAGGTATGATTAATATCTCCATCTTAGAGGGAACTGCAACACCCTCTAAGACCATTCTGACATACATGTGAATACATATTTATTAAGTTATTTGAGAATAGTAACTTCAATCATCCTCAGTGGATAATAATATATAGATGTTAGTTTTGGATACACTGTGTTTTATTCAAGACATACATTAATGAGGCCTTGAATAAAAACATTTAGTTGATTTACACAGTCAGTTACCCTTTGCAGAATGAACTCATAACTTTAAGATACAACTTCACAACCCTTGACTACAGTTAAACTACATTTTTCATTTATAGTTCATATCATATTCAATTCAGTAATATTAGCAGTGCAACTGAACAACTGTAAAGTTAACTTAAATAGTGGACACAATAACTGAAGGAAATTTGTGTCAAACAATCAATTCGGATGAATTTAGAGAAGATTATTTCCTGAGAATATTTAATCAAAGATCAAGACCTGTTTTAATAGAAGTTTCTGTCTTTCGTATCCATTTGTTTGAGATTGTGAGAAAGATTTGTGAATGTGCACCGCTAGTAAGACAGCTGTACGTACTGATCTTAATGTTTCTCATATCATTACACCGGTATCTTCAGTGAGGTACATCCTTACCTGTTACTCCTAATAAGGAGTTTCAGAACATGATGAATGGAGAGCCATGAGATATGGTTAATGTCTCCATCTTAGAGGGAACTGCAACACCTTCTTAGACCATTCTGACACACATGTGAATGAAAACAGCTATACCAGAGTCTTTGTAGTGATGAAACTGGCTGGCAGGTTTGTTGGCAAATATCGCTATTTCTTAACGATTCATGTGCACAGAAAAAAACAAATATGAAACATATGTTACAAATGATTTCCACTCTTTTGTCTTGGATATACTGCATTTCATGTCAGTACGGGTTTTGAAAAAAAACAATTCCATTCATATTTGCATAACAAAACTATAATAATATATAAACTAATTGTCTGAGTAATCCATTCAATGTGTAGCTCAATGTGTTCGATAGCATCTCCCTTGCAGAAGGGGCAGTGACTTTGCTTGTGAACAAGGAAAATGTTGAGAACTTATTTTGTTTTTTTTCAGAAACAATCATCTTTGAGATAAAAAATACTTTTTACATTTCCCCACATTTTAACTTCTGAACAGTTGTCATGTTTTAGTCACACTGTGTTTCTTTCAAAGGTAAAATAATCCTGGAAAAGGAAATCAAGGAGATGAAATGCATCAATGACTTGTTGCATCGAGAACTGGCATCTTGTAAGACACCATTCATAATAATTATATTTGATCTGTATCCAATAAAGCTATTGTAGCTGTTGCTAAAATATAAGTAGAAAATACATGTATTTGCTATCTTATTTGCAACTATGTATGTCTCATGTACCATATATTATGTTGTTTATTATATATCATTACTAACCATTGTCGTTGTTTAACTAACAAGTAACATGTAATGTTTACAGTACAAACTGAAGCTTACCAACTGGAAGGAATCCTTAAAGAAAAAGAAGGTACGCAGACAAACAAGTGTACATGTGTATTTGATTATATCCCAATTAGTATGAGCATTTGTTGGCATGTAGTGTTAATGTGTTGGCTGACTGACTGTCTGGAAACAATCTGTCATGTTAAAACAAAGACAATACATTGAACTAAGCTGATTGTTCTCCAGAGCTGTGCAGGAAGCTTCAGTTCCAGAGTGCGGAGTCTGAGCAGGACTCGGTCAGGTGAGCTCAGCACCAACCAGAATACATATATAGAAATGCAACTATAAAGAGTTCTGCTTTGAGTTTCGCTTTAACATTTTCATTTCTCCATTTTGTGAAACTGCTGTTGGTGATATGTAACACTAGATGGCAGCAACTCATCAGAATCCTGGATATTTATTATCTTCGAGAAATTCTCTGATGGCTGTATTTTCTGTATTTATTAGGACGTGTTGGATTTGTTTTTCTGAGCCCTTCCATAACTGTAAACAAAAATATAAGTAATGTTTTGACTCGTTTCCTATTGGCTTATATTGATATCTATTTATCTAGTTGCCAAGTTGATGTACAAAGAATTCCAGTTTGTGTACCTTCATACCTTTTCAATCATACATTTCTACTCCCTTCTATATATTGATTTGATTAGCAGTTTTCGTAAGGCTCTAAGGAAGATGTGGAGTGTTAAGGCTTCGGAGTTTGATTCCTTTCTGGGTCTTTGTTTTATCGTCAACCTTTCACTTCTCTAATTGTACATTTGATGTACAGATGTATTCTGTAGGGCTAGGTGATATCTTCTGTCTTGATAAGGACATAACAATATAGCTTGTTTTCTAGTAATTCAATAAATACATATGGACTAATCACATGGCAGAGCTGATTTCTGTATACTAAATGAAATACTTACGACAGAAAAGTATTTTCTCATTTTAAGAAGTTCAGTTTCTTACTTTATGATATGTTTATCTTGAACCAAGTGTTACATCGTGTGTGTTTTGCAGGCAGTTAAATCAGAACAGGAAAAGTGAGGAACTTCTGGAACAGTACAGATGTGAAGTCCAGGAATTCAAGCTTAAACACCGGAAGCAGCGGTAACGACTTACAGTGCAAGGATAACTTGAATGAAAAAATACTTGAAAATGTGGATTCAATAATGTCAGCCTTGTTATTGCAGGATGAAGTTTGAAAACCAACTTCTGCATCTGATAGAGCAGCATAAGAATCTGCACTCTGTCTTTGTGAGTTAGACTTATGTTGTATAAACACGAGTACAACATTTGATATACTTTCTCACATCTTCAAAACAGTATAATGACAAACCTTCAAACTGTTACTTAGTCTCCAGAAAGGCTCTCAGATGAAATCACAAGTGCTGAGAATAGAAGAAGTCAGCTGTTGGCAGCCGGTAAGTGTCCTCTCTTAACTCATGCCCATAAACTATTGATCCTTTACATGCATGACTTTAGTGTTTATGTTTGTCAGGGTTTGGTAGTAATACGGACCCAAGAGCAGGGGAGGCAGGTATGGGAATGTAAACATAAGGCAAGCTTTTATTAACTTAGAAGCTGGTTACAAAAACTGAAGAAGCAGGAGAAGTAGAACAAAAGGAAAGTAGCAAGCAAACAAAACTAGAAGGACGCAGGAGGGCAGACAAGGGCAACAGGAACAACCATGGGAATGATGTGAAATAAGGAACCAAACCATGGGGACAGGGACGACGAACGGACGAGGAACACAAGGGAAAGCAAGACTGAATACACAGAAGGGAATCACAAGAGAAGACACAGGGGAGGGGAGGTGACACACAGGCAACAGGTGACACACAGGCAACAGGTGAACATAAGACAATCAGACAGGAGGGGAAACACAGACAGGAAGACAAGACAAGGAGAAAATGACTTTCAAAAATAAACAGACCGTGACAATGTTCCATTTCCAACACCTCCGATGGTCTGTGATTTTCACAGAACAAATGAAGTTGGCTCAGCTTCATCGCCTCCAAGAGGAGCTGGAAGAGATGGAGAAACACAAGCAGCGAGCGACCACAGCTGCAGAGACTCAGGGGGAGTAAAACGGTGCGATTATGGGTATTTTGAAAGAATCAGAGGTACCTTGTTTTACTCCCTGTTAGATGCACTTTTATTGCTTTGTGTCAGGTAAAAGCCTTAAATCTAATAAATGTCACTTCCTGGGTTTAATCTATTCAAGTGTTGCAGGATCCTGCCAGAGCCATAGTGCAAACACCTACAACTTCAAACTGTTTGTTCCTTGGCTTCTTGAACTTTTTGATATGAATTGTTCTGTGAGACGGGCTTGTTTTGATGTGTTCTGAAACTTGAAATAGTGTTCATAGTGTGACTGGTTATTGTTTTTCAGATTCCAGTATCCTGTATGTTCATCTTATCTAAATAGTATGTATTGATATAATATATAAAAGTGTTCATATACTGAAGAAATGTAACGTTTTAACATGTTGTAATGTTGTTAAATGGGTTCATTTTATAAATCTTAAAAGAGCCTATACATGAAAACAATACAAGTCACTACAATAAACACACACACATGTATATATGTGCACACAGCCACGTTCAATTTCAGTTTTAATAAAATACTTTTGAACAGTATTTCAATTACAATGTAATACTATCTGAGGTTGTTTGATTTTTTTAAACAACAACACATTACTGTGCAACTGAGCCCCCCTACTTAATGCTAATTAGTATTTACAGCCAAGACCACATACTTGCATATTAATGAAAAACAGAAGGCACTTTAGGGTGATATAACAATTTCTAATTTGTTATATAGATTATCAATAAGTTCTTTTTTATATAAATATGTACAGTATAACCCCTCCTTAAAAAAAAACAGTGTAACCCCAGAATTATTATCCATTATTATCCATGAATCAATTCATCCTCAATGCTTTTGATGTTCTGTATAAACACATGACCTGTTGAGCAGCCTGGGAACTGTACCGTATAACTACATCTTTGGTGCACTAGTGTTTACGCACCAACAAAGGAGTTTGCAGTCCTGCGTAGGGCGTAGGTCTCTGAAGTTAAATGACTTATATAAGGAGGCATGGCCCTGCTCCAGTCCTGCAAAGTGTAGCTAGTTGTTCCTCTTTGTTTCCTGATGACTAACTCAAATGTTAAATGATAGAGAAACAGAGTTGTGTCTTTTTGTTTTGCTTTTTACAGTCGTTCAGTGCAACTACAAATGCTTAACACCTTTATTTACAGACCAAGAATAGTACACTTATATTTTTTAACTCCACTTGTCGACCATGAATGTGTTGGCCTCTCTCAATGGTTATCTGTCACGTTTAACCCTGAGAAGCAGGTCCACGCCTTAATCGAAGGATACACACCTAAAGTTCACTACAGGCTTTCCTTTCTATTTAAACTCTGCCTTAACATTAGAATAGTTATTATAAACAAACATTAATTTGGATTGCTTCTGCTTTCTCTATAATCTCAGATTTGCCCTTAAAATGTCCCCCTTCATCAATTCATCTCATGTTTATTCCCCTTCATTTTCTCATTGTTGTTTCTGTTCCAGCATTAATAATATAATCCTAACGTTAGTGATGCCCACAGTGGGCCATTGGCACACGGTGAATCCACAAGAACGCTTTCTCCAATTCAGTTTCAGCTGCACAGACACTTGTAGAAACACACAGCACTGGTACAGCATAGTACACATGGCGTAATACTGTATCCCGCCACGTTCTGACATTCCTTTTTATATCAACCCTCAGGTGCAATATGTTCTATATTTCTCTCGTACTCCCTCAGTCACGTTGATACAAGTTCAGTTGTAGGTGAATTGCCCTACCTTTTTCTGTTGGGTGAAACATTAGCCCATGGCAACCACAATGCGAGTAGAGTCCCTCTTCTTTCTCTCAGTCACCATATAAGGTCAAAGTAGTACCATGTCTTGGCACAAAGGCACATTCCAAACCCAATGACTTAAGTTTGTTTTCAGCATTTTTATATAGTGTCTTTTCAAGTTTTATTACGTTGTATTAAAATCCAGGAAAGGCTGCAGTGTTGAGCCGAAGAGGTACTTTGATAGAGTCGTTGGCATATATGGGCAATGCGTCTTTTTGATCATCTTGCATAAATAGTTTCCATATAAAAGGTGATTCCTCCATCTTTCGTTATCCCAGGGTATTCCCCATCTGTTGACAGAACAACAGGGTTAACATTTAATTCAACAGTGTATGTCTTTCACCTGACTGTGCTCTCCCTCTCTACTGTCAATATTATGAGTCCTCATATTTCTATAATTATGTAGAACATATATAAAAACACAATTGTTTATCTGCATTTATAAGAAACATTTCAATTTATATTAGGGATGCTCCGATCGATCGGCCGACGATACAAAATGGCTTCACCAGTCTGGCAGTATTTTAAGGTGTCCGAAAAAGACAATAAAATAGCGGTATGCAACGTGTGTGTGAAGCAGAAATCCTGCAGCTCCGCCCGCTGTGACGGACCGGTGAGCGGAGCAAAACACACAAGAGTTAGACCTAACACACTTAGCTATTTTATCTACCTCTGGAACAAGCTAAACTAGTTATAAATATGTTTATTCTTCACTGTCGGGTCACTTATTACTGGATCAGTGAGCTGCATGAGACGATACTGACAGGCTGTCAGGAAAGAGAGAGGAAAAGAGAGCGCTTCCGCTAATTACTCCCGTGTGATTATCCAAAGTTAATGTAAACTTGAATAATGTACTTCATTTGAATGTAATAATTATGTTGGTTGTTTGTGGAAGCGCCAGTGAATGAGCCCCATTAACTGAGTTTTAAACATCACTTTAAATGGAAGATCCCCATAGGCCCCGCCCACTCGATCGGATCGGTATCGGCCGATACTGATTCCGGCGATCGGCCCCAAAATTGGCGATCGGAGCATCCCTAATTTCTATATTTACTGAATAAACTCAAAAAAGTCCTAATTCCCAAACATTATGGCTTAGAATGAGATTTCTTAAAACCATTGATTACACTAACTCGTGACTACATTACATTTATTACACCTAAAACTACTTTTCTTTTTGTTCACATTTCTTTCCCCTCCACTCTGCAAACATCCTCATGACAGTGATAGACTACCTCAAAGCGGCTGTAGACCTTCTTCTCCTTCCTCATACTCTCCATCCTCTTGAGTAATCCCTCTCGCTCCTGGATGTTGCTGACCGGACGCAGAAATCTGTTATTTTTTATGGAATTGTCCTCGACGCCTCCTGTTTCTTCTCTTTCCAGTCGGTTCTTCTGGCTGTTGGCTGAGATCTGCTCCAGGATGACTTTAGTGTCATCTCGTAGGTTGCTGCTGAATATAACAGAGCTGCTGGGGGACTGGTATCGAGATGTAACCGATGTGATGGTCGATGTCTTGTGATTGGTTGTGGTTTGGTCGGTAGTGGCTGATACTTTTTCTTTAACCAATGAACTCTGCTTTTTGTTGAATTCTTCAGTGAGCTCTTTCACCGTGCTCATGCTCTTTTCATCTCCGGAAGATCTCTTTTCTTTGTCCTTGGGCCCCAGGAATCCCTTTAGCCTCTGAGTCTGCTTCTTCAAGAAGTCAAGTGTCTTCCCATCACCCTTTCCATCACCAAGTGTGTTGATGGATGTAGTAGACCCCATTCCTTTTTGCATTCCTTCTTTTGAATCGGCACGTGGCAGAGTTGAAGAACTATGAGAGCGACTCTTTTTCATTTCACTCTTCTCTGCGTCCGTAGCGTCTGTGGTCAGAAGGTCTTCACCACAGGAGATGCGACGAGGACCGACTACTTTGAGCTTCAACGGATCTCTCCTGAAGATATTAGGTGAGGGAAAGGGCTTCTTGAATATATCCTTCTTTTGACCATCTGACGCATTATCATCTTTAAGAGGTTGAGTTGTCTCCGAAGGCTTCACGAGGTTCGCCGAAGGTTTCAAGATAGGTGGTTTCACAGAACTAAAGGAAGTTCTGCGAGTGAGCTCTGCTATCTTTGAAGAAAGGTCTGTCTTCTTTGGTACAGGTTCTGCTGAACTAACTGAGACAGTTGGGATCCTTGGAGTCATTGGAGGTTTTATGGGAGGTTTATCAGAAAGGTCTGGCTTTTTCTCAACAGGCTGTGGGGCTTTAAGTGACAACTCCGTTTCCATTTTTGACGCTTTTCTCTTGGCAGCCAGTTCTTTGAAATACTGCAGTCGACTGGCGGGGTCATTCATGTTCATAGATGATGATGATGATGATGAGGAGGAGACTTCAAATTTCTCTGCTGTTGTCGTCTTTACCTCTTCGTTCTTTTTCCGAAGTTCCTCTTTTGCTTTGAGCTCATCTGTCAATCGAGTCTCGTTTTCTTTTTGCAGTCGCTCGTTCTCTTCTTTCTCTTTCTCCTTTCCTTTCTCCTTCTCTCTCTCCTCAGCCTTCTTTCTCCACTCAAAAGGCTCACGAGTCAATGTCCTCCTCTTCTCTAGGATCTGGGCCACAATCGAGGAAGTGCGCCCTGAGTCCAACTCCTCGTCTTCCTCTGTGGCTGTTTTGAGGCCAAGGCTACCACTATGCATCTCTACCTTGGAAGAGGAAAAGATAAGCGAAGAACGCAGACGTGAGCTACGTTGAATCAGTGGGTTGTTACGTGAATGGAATGATTCATGTTTGGAAAGGAAGCGATCAGGAGCGTCTTTCCCTCCCACATCCACACCGACCTCCCTTGCTGCACCTCTCTCTGTTTCCTTCTCAAGTACAGATGGCCTTAGGTCCCTGCTAGACGAATACAGATCCTTAGTTGTTGTCAGGGAAGATTCTCTGCTGTTGCTATCGGGTAAGATGGGCTTTCCATAGCGTGGTTTCGTGAATTCTGCTTTGGGTTTGTTGGGAACATTTGGTGGCTCCTTCAGTCCATAGCGGGAAGCGGGATTGTCAGCAGAGGATTTCTGAGGTGGAGGATCTTCAAATGCATCAGGACCCAAAGGTTGTGTCAGACCTTCTTCGCCACCATCCTCACAGGTGTTAAGATAGGAGTGGATTCTCCAACTCCTCATGCCTTGCTTGGCATCTGCATCTTCACCAGCCTCTTGTTCAGATTCTTTGGCATAAGGTTTCTTCTCTGGAGGGTGGAGGGGCTGTGTGGGTGAGCTCTGGCAGGCATACGCATGACCTACCGTTGGCCTCCTGCTTGAATCTCCTGCATACCTCCCAGCTACCGGCGGGGCCTGGTGGCCCTCAGGTCCTTTCAAATCATCAGATGAAAAGTACTCTCTGCCGTAGTTTCCAGGTTGTTGCTCCCGATCTGAGCGAAAGCTTGAATTTGAATACTGGTCAATGGAGAGTTGTGGAGAGGGACCCCGAAGTCTTTCGTAGTGACCATGACCAGAGCCCGAGCCAGGCCCTTCCTTGTAGTAATGGCTACTTTGGGTGTGCTCCCTGTAAAGAAAATATTGTTGTTTTTAATTATTTGATGAAAAATGTATTGTAATTTGTTAAGACACTTACTAACATACATTAGTGATAGATAATTATGAATAATTCACAGTTTCCAAACATTTGTAGGGATTAAATGGTTAACTACCTGTGGTCTGTCTCATCCAGATTATTCATGACTCTGGTCTTCATGTATTGCCTTGAAGATGAGTAGTTTTCCTGGGTTCCTTCAGCATAGCTGTGCCTCTGGAAGGCACTGCTACTCGTATCCATCTGCCTGGAAACTATGGACCTTCCCTGCTCCAGGAACGAATGCTGCAGACGAAACTGTTGCTGGGAATACTTTCCAATTGTAACTCCTGCCCCAGGTTCAACAGTGTGACGAAATGGATCGTTCCTTCGGAAAGGAAGTGCGGCATTACGATCAGACTCGCCATAGGGGAAGGCAGGGGCAATCTCAGGCTGCCTGCGGTAACCTACGGGGGTGCGCAAAGACTGGGTCCTCTTCAAACCAAACTGGTTGCCTAAGTAACTGCTTGTGCTGCTGCTGTCAGAAAGAGCAAGTGCTCCATTGGATGGGTCAATGACCAGCGGCTCTGACTGAGCGAAGAGAATTCTAAACTCTTCATCGAAGGTGGACACCAGTTCCCCGAGGAAGAGGTGGGCGATGCAGCGGTGGATCTTCTCATAGGACCACATGAAACTAAGAAATAAGACAATAGAGTCAATAAAAGTACTTGCATTTACAGAATAAATGTACAACAAACATAATAAACATAATTAAATGACTCACCTGTAGTTGCCACTCAGTACAGCTTTGCAGTCAGCCAAAAGGAAACGATCTTTCACCTGCCCCTTGAATGATTTCCCCGTGCGGGAATAATAGGTTATACCTGCCACCGTCCTGACGCACAACATCTGTAAAAACAAATTCCAATCATGTTATTTACACATGCAAGCCGTGATGGAAGTTACATGTTGTAAATAACAAAATAAATGCTAAATGATAGCCAACTCTTCAGACTCTTTTGAGAAAATAAAAAAAGGCAAACTCACAGGGTGGTGATCCAAGTTGACTTTGCAGTTTAAGACCATAGTGATAAAGTGATGAGATTCCTGCTCATCCAGTAGAAGGTAAACTGGAACGTGCCGTGCTGTTGCATCCAAGAGGTCCGCAAACAGGTCAACATCTGTGAACGTGTCCATCACGATCGCAATAACCTGAAGAAGAAGCAAAAACAAAAAAATACAAAATGAGGTTTGGTCAGTTTGAGAGGGTCTTTATCAGCAAGATAAAGCATAGAACATTATGCTCTGAGGAAAGAGGACTGCACATTATATGATCACTTTTATGGTACTTTTAACATACTGTTTAAACATTTCTCCTGACAGTGTGATAAATGAGTTGGATGTCAAGACTAAACTTTGTTCTAACGTTATTTACCTTACATTTGATTTAGCTGACACTTTTATCCGAATCATTATACAATAAGTGCAATCCACCATGAAGATACAAACTCAGAACAGCAAGAATTCATTACATTTGAGTATGTACACATGTAAAATACAATGTATTCATATAGTAAAATAACGCCTCTCAAATAGACATAATGGCTATTTAACTACATGCAGTGTATCAGCAATACACCGTACGTCATTCCCAATTAAATGTACATAACAGACATGTCATAGAAAGATGAATGACTCCTGTCACCTAACCTCAATCTGAATGTTCAAACACTTTTCTGCCTGAACAATAGTGAGTAACTCTAAAAGATAAAAATGGAGGACAGATAACGACACGGCCCAGTCAAACAGGTTTGACTGCTTTTGGTATGTACAGTGTTAACTTTATTTTAATCTTACATAAGGCCAACCTGTTATAAATTCATCTAAAAGGGAGTGGTGGCAAATATGACAGTTGCAGATAAAACTAACAGTGAGATAACACAACCCTCACATACACCATTTCTTGGCAGCCCTATCTTACATTTTTTCAAGGGGGATAAACTTTGATTCGAGAGAAAGAAGATACTAGATTTATGTGGTGTGTTAATTAAAGGTCCCATGTCATGGCCATTTCTACTGATCATAATTCCATTGTTGAGGTATACTACACTGTAAAATATTACCATGATTTCACAATATTTAGCTGTAATATTTTACAATAAATTACTGTTTTACCACTTTACAGTCTTTACCTGTAATGTCCACAATATAATACTGTAATTCTGAATTTCACAGTGAAATCAATACAGGCACAGTTAATTACTGTGAATGTACAGGATAAATGATTACCAGGATTTCACAACATGTTACTGTATTATTTCATAGAAAATACTGTATTCAGACCATCCTCTGTGATAACACAACAAATTAAGTGATTTTCTTGCTTTTATCGCTCTTGCTTGGCTTTAAAAATACTAATTTCTTTCTTTGGTGCAGGTTTTACTTAAATTGAAAGGGGCACCGCTGCATCTGCCTTCAAATAAACGATGCAACATATAAATCTATGTCAAATATGAAATTGTTGTCTTGGCTTATTGTTTTCAGGTGCTTCCTGGGCATTAATCCTGAGACGGGCTCGAAAGCCAAAAAGAGGCATGGCAATTTAAACCCCCATGTCAGCACATTCTTCAGAAAAATGGTTGACTTCGAGTGGATGTCTGTGTAGACATGTTACGTGCTCCCCTCCTTGTTTTCTTTTCTGTCTCCCTGCTGCCCAGGTGCACCTGGCTCCGCCTCTGCCCAGGTGCACCTGGTCTGCCCCTGGCTCCGCCTCTGCCCAGGTGTTCCAAATTCCACTCAGCCGTGTATATATAAAGACTGAGAAGCTGGAGGAGAAGGATGTCACGCCTATCCTGACGCTGGGAGACATTCTCCTTAGAATACCTCTTTTCCATTTTGAGCTGTAGGCCATATTTTTGCAGATGTGTTTATGTTTAGCCTGGAGGACCTGGTAGTCCAGTTTTTGCTGCTTTATTTTGTTTCCCATAGGGTTTATAATTGATTTCTGGTTAGGGGGGAGCTCTGGGTCCTACGGCCCGTGGTGTGGCTGGCTCGGGTTCCCTCCTTCTGTTTGTTCCTTTTGGCCAGTCCCCCAGACCTCTTTTTGTTTGCCGTTTCGCTTGTGTGAGCAAACGGCTGATTATCAATAAATGCTCATTACCAAGTACCGGTTATTGGGTGTATTCTTTCATGTTGCGGGTCTCAGCACGAGCCACTACCGCGGAGTAGAGGTTGGGGCCGTAACAACATGTCCAAGACACTGTGAAATGTACTTTGCACTTCAATGGAGTAATAAAAAGTTAAAATGGGCATTTTCTTTATTTTTCTTTGTTGATTGAGCTGATTGAATTGTGTAGTTATGGTAAAATCCCAGTTAACTAGTCAAATTTACAATATATTATCGTATTATTTACATTTGTATATTTACAGTAAATTACTGGCTACTGTGTTGCATTACTTCTACAGTAATAGTGTGAAAATACAGGTAATTACTGTAATTTATGTACAGCAAGGTACCATAATACCACAGCTCTGTACTGCTATATCACTGTAATTCCATGGGCATGGCAACTGTAAAGTCACAGTATTTAGTTGTACTTTTATTCTAATTTACTGTAAAATATCTACATACCATTTGGGTATGGGCACGTCACTGTACCCAGGAAGAAAAAGAGACGTCTCCAACGAGGCGTTCTGGGGCAGCATAGACAGGTATTTTCAGGGTACATGGTGTACTTTGAGGGTTTGTGACTTTGCAGACCGTTTACATGCATAAAAACCTTCATAACACACAAGGGGACGGGTAATAACCGGTAAAGCATGACATGGGACCTTTAAATTACATCATAGTTTATTCCCACCAATCTACTTTTAGATTACCTTTGAAAAAGTAGGGTGTGTCAGATACAAAAGCATATTTTGCATGTTTGTTGTTGCACACTCAAAAATGTACGAACATTGAAATCTTTGATCGCATCCTAAGTTCCAGCTGAAAGCAAACCGGATTTACAAGTTTAACTTACTTGGCGTGCATTCTTGATGAGTCTTCTGGCCTGCTCCTTGATGCTCGGCATGTCTGGGTCGGAGGGGTTCACTAGAGTGGTGACCTCTGTGGGCCCCATGAAGCTTTGCTGGGGCAGCGGCCAGCCCAGATCCAGCCCCGGGGCGGCCAGGTCGGACTGCATCGGCCAGTACGTGTCGGAGGAGCCGTCTTCTTCCAGAGCTCCTTCAGGGTACGTCAGCTCGGGCACGCCGGAGGTCTGGTTCGGCATGTGGATCGTGGATTTGATCAGATCAATCTCCTGCTGTGCCAAGAAACCAACCACATCCGCAGACTGGAGGAACTCATGGTAACCCTGCAGTGACAAAGCCAAATTCATTATGTCGTTAAATACAATGTATTCTTCTTAGAGAGTTTTAGATAAATATTATTTACAATCACACGTAAAAAACCTAGAAAGCTGCAGGGTTACCTGTACGTCATTCTCTATCAAAGCATCAATAGCCAGGCGATACTCCTCACGGTAATGTGGGGGCAGGAAATTTGGGTCGAGGGGGTTTTCCCCAATCGATGAAGATTGGGATCGGTGTGCCATGATTGGAGAGAGAGGGGCGGGTCAAAGGTCAGGGCTAGGGTCGCAAGGGATAAGGGAGAGGGAATTTGAACCTGTGCAGAAAGAACAAAAAGGTCAGTGTAAGACAGAATTGCGTTGTTAAATTAAAAAACATTATGTAAAATGGTTTATTTATTCAGGCGCTTGTACAGTTCATTTAAGGGTTTGAAAGAAGAAAAAAATTCTAAGGTTTCTAAGAATCTTAAAGCATTTAGATGAACTATTTTCCAAGTGTTCAGTCACAGTTGCAACTGGATAACACATCAAACATCCATTTGTGTTATACTACTTCTAATTGATATAAATATTCCTCAGGGTGGTGAGAGGAAGAACAATTTGTGTCAGGATTCACAAGACAGATTACCAGTAACCTCCGACACAAAGAGTCTATTGTTGTGGAGGCAAAGGCCTGTGCAGTAGGTTTACCGAGTTCACCTTCCATGTTTACACAACTTCTCCCCACACAATACCACATGCTTATAATATACAGATTTTAACATTTGTGACAGATCTGCACAATTATTTATTTTTTATCCAAAGGCCACGTCTCCATTTTTAAGACGGGCAAATGAGTGCAGTCTATGGATAATTTTGTTTATTTAGGTGTGGCACTCTCCCCTACACTTGAAATAATTGTTCGAAGTGTTTTGTCATATAATAATTGACTGGATGACCTTAGGCCATATTAATAATAAAAAAAACTGAGATATTGTTTGCAACCTATTTAATACCAATGCATCACCATTTCATGTGTTATGCTGTTCACAATATACCCCATTTATAAAGTTGTCATTAATGGCATCATGCACTGTTTATTTAACGTTTAATTCAACGTAACATACTAATAGCACAGATTATTAACTTACTTTTCAATCTGGTTTATATAAAAAAAACTGTGCAGTAATATAAAAACAACAGGATATGGAAAATAAAAAGGGAGGGAGAGAAAGAACAAAGTGAAGTTAGAGAAAAGGGAGGTGTAGGGAAGAGGTGGGAAAGGCATTTTGAGGTGTACAGACAGGTTCTCTCATAGCTCAGCAAATCTTCCTGCTGGTGCGTCATGCTTCAAGTTGTTACTCAGAACTCATCCTGAAAAATCAGGTTCAGTCGTAACACATTCATTAATTTAGAGAACGATGAGTACGCTATTAGCTGTGCTATGACTTGATCTCACTTAATCTACGTGTATGAAAGGAACATTGTTACATTTCTTAATTCTTTTTTTGACTTGAGAAAGAGACGGTGGAAACGTTTGGGATTCACTTTGAGGATCAACTAACCTTGAGATCAAAGTTCAACCTTATTTAAATTATTTTATCTGCAGATAAATGGATTACAATTTCTCACTCCAAGCCCAAAAGGACAAAAAGACAGTATCCAAAAACAATTTACAAAAGCTAGAGACAACTAAACCAGGCAAACTGGAAGCTTACAACAACAATACAACAAGGAAGGACATTATAATAATCATACAAATAATAATAAATAGGGCTCAGCTATAGATTCATTATTTCAACATTAAAAAGCTTGTGTCTGAGTAACCTAAAGATGATTGGTTCACTATCACATCCTCACAGCTGGGAAGATGAAACAAGGAAAAAGATTATTGTATCATCAAAAAAGTTGCAGATACATTTTTTTATGAATTAACTATGTGTTTCAGCTTTAATAACAAAAGCAGGTTTGACCGGCTTGGTTTAGTGAGGGTTTTTCCATTATTACTTAAATTCTGTTAATTATTTTGTCGTTTACTGTATGTGCTTGGAAAGATAAAGTAAAGGTTCACTAAACAGTTTGAATGCCGGATGCTAAACACAACCACGTGTTATGCACCATCAGCTGAGCCATCCAGGACAACCCTCATTGATCTTTAAAATGTTCCTGAGAGCTGCGGACTGTAGGGCCATCTGATGCTGGAGATGTAAGCCAGAGAGCGCAGAAATTTACCAAAATATTGGAATGATTTGACTGTTTTTATCTCTCCTTTAGCCACTTCCGGGCTCCATAGACTTTTATGTTTACAACCACTTAAACAGTTCCAATATTGGAAGAAAGCTGGTTCAATACTTCGTCAATCTCAAACAATACAAGTTTTCCTTCTGCACATCGCAAAATGTGTTCAAAACAGGAAGTGTTTTACACTGTGTGGATAAATCACTACAGAAACGTCTTAGCAACTATGTTTGACTGACAGCCTGGGTTCATGATCAGGGTGTGTGTGACCTGGGGTCTGAGTTGAAGGGTGAGTCGATGCTTTGGAAGGGTTTACCTGTTAGAAGAGTGTGTGACGTATTTCCTATGAACTTCCACACAACTTAAAGAGATTGGTGGTGATGGAAAACGTCCCTATGGCATAACCCGTAATCATAGGGAGAAGCCGGTTTATTCAGAGCCTAGTGAGTCACTGGGTCGCCCGGCCTGGCCTGGGGATAACTTGCAAGATGCCTCTCTCTGATGATTCATCTGCTGGTAAAATGGCTGACATCCTGTTTCCTTTCTGGGTTTTAACCACAAAAATGTCTCTTTCCTGTTCACATTAAAACTTCCATAGTGGACAGGGAGGCACATTAGACGCACAAACTGCTTGAATAGGATAGCTTTACTAATGCCAAGTTTCTAAAATGGAAGAGTCTAAACTACTTTCATGTGTCTTGTTTTGCTCAATGTTTTAAATCATGAAGCAGCCTGAGGCTTGATCTGTGTTTAAGTGAATCTAATGAGGCAGCATTAAGCATGCATACCTGAGGACTTGTGATAACAGCCATAAAGAAAGAGATGTGCACCTGCCTGTGCTCGTCATAACGTTTTAACCTCAGAAAATTCCCCGATGTGGCAACATAGCAACGGCCAAAAAACAACACTGCAAGTGATTTGCAAATTGTGAAATCATCGTTTAACGTGTTGCTGCATTCCAGTTTCCAAAACCTAAAGAGTGAAATAACTATTATCATTATACGGCTTTATTTTTGTGTTTGCTTTCTGATCAACAGTCCAAGACCTAAAGATATTGAGTTTATCATCACAGCAGCATTCAGCAAGATCCAGCAGTCGATGCATCAACTAATCTCGCAGCTCCATAGGTAATATTCAGCTCTTTACTTGAAGAATGAGTTGAAAGAGTTCTAAATTGTTGAAGGTTAAAACACTCTACCATAGAGAAATAGCAGGGCAAATGGACCCTGAGGTGAATATGATCTGCCTGAAGAGAACACTAGCACTAAACAGAGCCCGGGGGTTTCTTATTCACCCTCTGGACCACGGGTCAATGCAGACGAACCAACGGGAAAAAAATACATTGAAAAAGAGACATGGCCGCCGTCCTCCACCTCACCTGGCTGACGGGTCCAATATTCAAACAAATACCACTGCTTTGTTTGTTGTTATAGTAACTGCAGTATGCATCAAACAGTAGAGACATGATGAGAGAGATCTATCTCTCCCTCTGTTCCTCCCTCAGTTTCAAGGCTTTCTGTTAGCCACACAAGGACGAGCTTGCTCTAAATGCACCAATAACAAAGGCAGTTTGAAACACTAAACCACCACAGGGGCGGGCACAAACCGACTGCAGCTCCTCATGGCGGATAAACCCAATATTCAGATGCCCAACGTTTGCTCACTTAGCGAGAAAACTGCTCATTCACAGCATTCCTGCCCCGGGAAGAGGAAGAGACATTAAGAGCTGAGCGAGAGAAAAAGTTATTTGTCTCAACATGTGAACCAGATAAACGAGTCTGAAAGGACAAACTCTAAATAATATTTTGTGTTTTCTCTCTTGTCTCGCACACATCTGAACACTCCTCACTAAACAAACACTATGATTGATCCGGCATACCTCTCTGATCCAGTCATTTTGTGCGATAATTCTGTGTGAATGGAGTGAGAAACGAATACCTGAAAACAGGTTAAGAGAGAAGAGCCAGTAACGTCCTGTCAGGATCTTTTAACGCCTCTTTGGGCAGATTAACATAGATAAGAGCAAACACAGAGCACATCTTGTCTCTCTGTGTATCATCACACGTCAGTGCTAATGTTGAATGCCACAAAAAGACAGCTCAAGGTCAGAAGAATGTATAGGAAAAATGGCGGCACCTATCCCTAATTTTTAAACTGTGTTACATAGCAGCACTGCTAGAAAAACAGGTCCTCGTCAAATGTTCCAACTGCCTTAATGTCTGCAGTCCTCTTGAGTGGAAAACCCAACAATAAATGCATGAAAAATGTCCTACTCTGCTCCTTCTCTACTCACAGAAGCGCGTTATTGTGCATACATGAGTGATAACCACAGACAATGAACCCTTGTAACACATACAATGCAAACAAAGCTATGAATGGCCTTCTGCTCTGGCCATATGGCTAGTGTAAGAAGATGAAAACTATAAAAAGAAGGACACAATCATGTGGAGATGCCAGCACTACAAACTGTTCCCCTCAAATTATAAACACATGTTGGATTTTTCCGATCCAGTGAGTCACATTGAATGAATGGAGGAACAGCCTGTGGAGGTGAAGTTTGAATCAATGGCTTGTGTGAGTCAAAGCTGCCCACACAATTGATTTTGTGTCTGCAATAAAGATACAATGAGAGCCTATAGGACAGATCAAAGTATGCAGGTGACAACCTGTGGAAGGCGTATTGTTCAACAGAACAGTCTGTATAGTTGCAAACGACCTTGTATTATCTCAGCAATTATCTTTAAATTAGAGGGATGTCAAGTTAGCCCGATGACATGCAATGCAATCCTTACATAACATTGTGCAACCAAAGCATTAGACATGCTTGTTAAAGTGTCCCTGTCTATTCAAACATCATTTATTATCACCTTCCGTTCCCTACAAAAGATCCACACAGTCTGACTAAATGTAGCTTTTTTCTCTTTCAATAATGTCTTCAAAGGACAGGAGAGAGAGCAGTATTTAGTGCCAGCCAACGCGGAGCCTTCTTGTGTGCTTGGACTATAATAACAATACTGTTCAGGTTTTGCAATGGCAGCAGCTACCTCGATGACTTAATCCTTCAGACTGCTGCTGGTGAGGAAAGTGACCCGCATTTCACTTTTTGAATCCACCCACATAGATTGAGTAATGAATGGAAAATAACTATGATACCAGTTAGGATATATTAAACAAGGACAGGACCTGGACACCTTTCAATAGAATAGAAAAATAGGAAATAATTAGGATAAGTTAGTTAAAGGATGATAAAACTGAAAAGAACACATACAGTAGGTCTAAAGCAAGATATTAGAATATAATAAAACTTAATCAAGTAGTAAGACATTTTTATAATATAACACAGGACAGAATAGAGTTAAAAGTATACATATATAATACTAAAATATAATTTAACAGGACACAATAGTATATAACAGAATAGAATAGAGCATCTGTACAACTGGTTCTTTGTCCCATTTTGCAACTTCAAACTCCGCTTTAATTTCCACTCCCTACCTCCTATAACTTGGCTGCAGAACTTGTCTCCTTTCCTCTCTTCGTACCAACGGGTATCGCTCTCCCCGGTGAAATGTGTCAAATTCCTCAGATCAGGCTAAAACTACACCCAAACCCCCCGGTGTGCACCCTCCGCTGCCGACCAGCAACACCGACTCTCCACAGACTCCAGGCCCGGCTGAGTGCTTCTCTCGGCGGGCTGAGGTCCTCCAGAGTCGCCGCCACTCCGCATAGACAGCGAGGTGAATGAGGAAGCAGCGGCCGCTCCTGCAGGCTCTCCCCCCCCCCGGGAGACTCCTCCCAGGCAGCCGAAGACCATTGGAAGTTCACTCCCAGTGGAGTATTTCAAAAGTGTTGACCTTTATGTCATTGCTGATGATAATTGTTTCACTACAAAACAGAAGTTTTTCGAGGCCAGTTTGTGCCAGCCTTGTTCCTTGTACTATTTACAGTGTTTGCCCGGTCTTGGCATTGTTTTGCTCTTGTCTAGTTATCTTTGCAGTGGAAGAAGAAGTTCATATCTAAAACTGTTTTTATCCCACTGTAGAACAACTCTGTTAGGGGTAAAAGTCCTACATTTAATATGTAATCTATGTAAAAGTTCTATCAATGTACAATACAATGTAAAATATGTCTACCAAAAGTAAACATAGGCCTATTCAAGATAGATTTATATTTATATATTATTTTAATTATGCAGCTATTATTGTGTTAACCACTTAAATGTTGCAGCTGATTAAGGTAGGGATCATTTGAATGTATTTATATATAATGTATTTTATATCTTCCTTTACACACTACTGGTGGTTCTTCTTTAAAAGGATCCATACTGTCTTATTTGCAATATATTTATTGATTATAGTTTGTATTGTTAACCTTAATGCACTGGTAGCTATTAGTTACCAGATAAAAGTACTATTTCCCTAGTTGATATTTCTGTATTGTGCTGTTAGATGAGTGTTGGCTAACACGCTGACATGTCTGGGTTTGCTGTTGGTTAATGTGTCTGAATATTGCCATGAGCGATGCTTTGTGTAAATGATCAGACAGGAAAATAACATATTTATTCATTCAACATTACTGTTTGGTGACTGTATGCGCTTCTCTCTTTGTGGTACCACATTTGAACATTTACTAATATCCTGTATTAATTAGCCTCTTTTTAGTTATTTAGACTAACTTGTTTTTTGTTGTTTTGCAGGCCATGTTCTCTACAGAAACTGTATGAATTACTCACCTGCTGTTTTTTTCCGTGGCAAAACACTGAATCAGCAGTCTTTAACAGTTCTCTCTCTGCTACAGGCTACAGCGCTCAGTTTCTCCTTCTTTAACATGGGCTGGAATTTAGAAGATTGTTTTTCTGAAGGCCATAAAGTGACAGTGCAGGTAATCATTAGATTCCAGTGACGCTATTCGTGTATATACAAATTTAAACATAGTTTGAAGGTGTTGGATTTGACTGGTTCTTCTCACACTTTTTGCCAACATGTGAATGATTATCTATTATGTCTCTTTCATTTTCTGCTTGTCTGAGTTAAATCCAACATTTTTGAACTTCAGTCTCCACCTTTAACTGATTTGCTCTCTTTGTTTTGGTGTTTCTTTATTTACCTTTCACTACTTCTCATTTAGATTCTCAATCCTCCTCTCTGTGTCACTCACTTGCAGTCAAATACAACAGCAAACATGAAATGAACTCAAGGCATAATACAGGTTAAACAGCGCTGTGTGTGTGCACTTTATGTGGGCCGTCCTTTGTCCTGAAATGTGTCTATCAGACAGAACACACCTTGTTTTATGGCCCTCTGATAGCAACACACACTTATGAATTGGACTGTATGTTCAGTGCTGCTCCTAAGGGTGTGCCTCCTGTTTGAATGCGCCCATGTCCTTTTGAGCTGTTACACACTCAAATAGCAGGAGTTTGCACTTTGCCTTTCAACTCTTTTCCAATTCATGCAAATGTGCAACTCTCAGCATGACAGAGATATGGAAGGAGAGTAAAGTGTTTGCATACAGCCATGTGAGTATTGTAATACTCACATGGCTGTATGCATGTAGACCATGGCTGTGCATTATTAAGAATACTATGTGTGTTTCAGGGAAATCGTGTTCAATGAAAGAAGTTCCAATAGAGAGAAAGTGCCTGCCTCCATGAACAAGTTCTGATAACAAACACTAGCAGGTATACAGACGCTGAAACGCAGGGTGCGGTAGCTGCAAGGAATGTGCTCAAGGCATCTTAAACCACACCCAACTCCTCCTCTCACCCTCTATCCCCCTCCCTCTCTGAGTCACCTGGCAGCCAGTGGACAGGTGTACAGGTCCAGGCAGAGTCTAGGCAGCAGCCAAATCCTGGCCTGCATCTCAGCATACCTGGCAGAGGAGTCGGGACGATTTTAATTCAAACAAACTTTATTGACATGGCAGTTAGAGTTCAATGTCGACAATGGAGTTAGAGCAAAAACAAAGAAAGTGCATGACTAAGGTCTATGTTGGTAATGGAGGTTACTCGAGTTAGAATAATAAAAGTTAAATGTGAAAAAAAGACAAGAGCAGAGCAGGAAAAAGTACTCAGATCCGTTACTTAAAGTGGACCTATCATGCTATATTTGAATAATATAGTGTAGGACCATACCTATATAAGGCATATTTATACTTTTTTCTTTTCAAAATACCAAACAGATCATGCATTTTAGCCATGCCTCATTTCGCTCAATTTGCACTTTTTTTTAGCTCTGCTCTGCAAGGGCAGATTCAGTGAGAACAGCATCATCTACTGGCCTGGCATATGTACTACAGCGTCTCCAGCGCTTTCGAACGGCAATAGCCGTAGCGCCACCGTCCTGACGTCAGGACAGTGTTCAAATCTGGATCAGTTTTTATCAGATCCGTTGCAGCCCCTTTTTTAGAGATTTGGGTATGGAGGAAAATAGAGAGGGTTGTGTTTTCTGACACTTGGTGAGTTCCCTGGAACACCGGGGACACATATTCATGTATAAAAGACGTACAAAAGTGCATTTTGCATGATAGGTCCCCTTTAAGTAAAAGTATAAATACTATGTTCTGAAAATACTCCATTACAAGTAAAAGTCCTGAGATTATAATGTTACTTAAGTAGAAGTACATATGTATTATCAGCTTAAAGGTGGGGTAGGTAAGTTTGAGAAACCGGCTCGAGATCGCTAGAATTTGAAAATACACAACCGGAGAAAATCTGCCACTTCCTTACAGAGCCCCTCCTCCATCACACACGAACGCGCACATGACCAATGAGGGCACGAGATAAGTTTGTGCACAGATGGAAGGCTGACAGGCAGGTAGGCCATCCAGTTATTTTAGCCGGGCCGACTAAAATGATTGTTCGTACTTTTTACAGTATTACGGCTTCCACAAATGACATTTTTGTATGGATTTTTTGTCAAAGCACTTAAGATATTCATTGCTATTGGGATGTTAAGAGCATTCCATGGAATATAACAAAAAGTGTATCTTGAGCCGGTTTCTCAAACTTACCTACCCCACCTTTAATGTACTTATAGTATCAAAAGTACTAAGTATGCAGAATTTCTCTTTTCACAGCATTATATAGAATACTATATAATCCTGATTGTAACGTTTAAAAATGCATGTAAAAATGTAGTGGTACTTGAGTAAATGTACTTAGTTACATTCCACAACTGAATACCATATATGCTCCACATTTAAAAAGAAAAATTATGCAGTACTAATTTGTTCAGCCATCACAAGCCTTCAAATTAGCTTAAGTGTCTCCTCCTAACAAACTGTGAACTTAGTGTTTAATAATGGATGTTAAACAAGTACATTTTATTATATATAGCCCAAAAACATACATTTGCTTCAGGGTTTACATTTTGCTCCCCTCTGTCTTTTTTCAACACTCACTTTGGACAAGTTAAAAACTGTCCTTTGTCAATGGGGAAAAAAGCAAGAAACCCCAGGAAGAGACGATGAGGAGGGATCCCTCTCCCAGGAAGGACAGACGTGTAATGGATGTCCTGTGAGACACATGATATCATCTTCCTTTTTCAGCGGAAAACTTTGTCGTCAAAGTGAAATGAGAGATGGGAGACAAAAGTACAATAACTAGGAAACGGAGAGCGGCTCAGCGGAGCAGGAGTCACTCAACACCAACAATGTGCAGGACTCAATTATTTCAGGTCTTTTACAGAAGAGGTGATGTTTTTTTTTGGCAGAATAGAAATATAAAGCTATTTGTAGATTATATTTCCTTCACTTGATGAACTTTCTACATCTCTATAGCTAAACTAGCTGCTGTCCCAGAGCTGAAATGTACTGCAATACTTTATAACGTTGATACAAAGAGCAGACTCTGTGAGTCTGCTCTTCTCTTGTCTTTCTTTTCTTTTTCTGCCTGCAGGCTGCGTCTCTGAGGCCCTGTAAGCTTTCCCAGCATGCTTTTCTCACGCTGTAATGTCACATCTGAGTATGTGACTCGCTGGAAACTGGGGCCCTGAGGTCATCTTTACACTACTGTGCGGGGAGGTAAGGTGCAAACAAGTCCATTTCAACACTATATACAATGTATGTGTTGCTCTACGTATGTGTGTATGTGGGAGGCAGTGTTGTGAGTATTTGGACTCACGCTAATGAGATGACAGTACACTCCCATTACCACCTACCATATAATGACATTTCCCTTTTAGTTCCTTCAGTCTGCATATTGTGCAGGCCTTTTATTTCCGCCTACAGAACAAGATCCAGCAAAAATAATTAGTCCCCGAGTAAAACATGATCCTCTCATTCATTTAAAAAAACTGTTTGTATCGTTTGTATCATATTTGTGTGTGTGTGTGTGTGTGTGTGTGTGTGTGTGTGTGTGTGTGTGTGTGTGTGTGTGTGTGTGTGTGTGTGTGTGTGTGTGTGTGTGTGTGTGTGTGTGTGTGTGTGTGTGTGTGTGTGTGTGTGTGTGGGCATGAACTTGAGACTTTGTCAGGAGACTCTCATAACATGACAATCAGTACTGGGTGGGGCATCGTCAAGAACCAACAACAACTTAGAAGGAAAGTCCCCACAGTGAGTGCAAGGTTCTTCATTTATAGTAGGTAAACGTTGGTGTTTCAGAGTGCTTGTGTGTGTGTGTGTGTGTGTGTGTGTGTGTGTGTGTGTGTGTGTGTGTGTGTGTGTGTGTGTGTGTGTGTGTGTGTGTGTGTGTGTGTGTGTGTGTGTGTGTGTGTGTGTGTGTGTGTGTGTGTGTGCGCGTGTGTGTGTCAA